ACATATATACATACACACATATATAAGCAGAAATTCATAATTCTGCTTCATTCCCATTAGCCCTTTCATTATTCTTTTGGGTTTCCAAGCAGCAAGCAGGAGGTCAGCATACATCAAAAGCTGTCAGCCATCTGAGAGTGCAAGAAACCGGCTTCTCTCTTCTCCCTTACTGGAAATAACTTCCCCAGTGTTGTCAGGAAATGCAAAATTGAGGAGGAGAGACCACAACTATAGGAAAGCGAATCTTCATAAGCTGTGGTGTCATGAGTCTCTTCATAAAGAGGTTTCACTTATGTGGGGCCAAAGCATACCCAACATACTCTTCTGACACTCACCTAGGCACTGGTAGTCTGTAAGGAGATCATCTGTTTCTGTCCAGCCCAGTGCTGCTCCAAAGCTGTCGACACAGAAGGATTTCTTAGTGTCAGGGTCTTGCTGGGAAGGTCTATACTGGCCATCTTCATCACACTGCAGACCCTGCTCATTGCTTTGACAGTACATGATACCTGTAACAAGTAAACAAGGAAAGAAAACATGGTACTTTGATAATGCTGTCACTGGGTTTCACAGAATGGGTCTGGTTGGAAGGAACCTTTGGAAGTCATTTGGTCCAACCTCCCTGCCCAAGCAGGGCCACCTAAGAGCTGGTTGCCCAAGACCATGTCCAGTTGTCTTTTCAGTATCTCCAAGGATGGAGACTCCACAACATCACTGGGCAGCTTGTGCCAGTGCTGAGTCACCCTCAGTAAAACATGTTTCCTGATGTCCACAGGAACCTCCTGTGTTTTGGTTGGTGCCCATTGCCTCTGGTTCTGTCAATGCAGTGGGACAATGTTTCAATGCTGTAGGACAAAAGTGCTCTAAGTAAAGCAGAGACTTCACTGAAAAAGAATCTACAATTTGCATGATATTCCATGTTCTGAAACATGGCAGTCTCACTGCTTGGTTGTTACTGCAAGTCATATTCCAAACATTTTTAGGATCCTCTGCCATGGATAAATCTCCCTTTACGCTAAGTACAGTAAATCAAAGAAGTACAGAAAAGGAACTGTGTTTTCACACAGGATTGTTCAGTGCCTGCTGCAATGGATCTGTGAAATGTCAAGAACACCAGCAGAAAAGCCACCACACCATTAATTCAGTAAACTCTTCACACCTTGCAAGGAGACAGCAGGGAAAGAAAGCAAGTAGCAAGCTGCATGTGTAGGACATGGCCTTTTGGAAAGGACTGGCACTGAAACTCAGCACACAGGTAAGGTGGAAACTAGGCAGGGAGCAGGTTTAGTTGCAGGCACCTGCAATAAAGAAAACTGGAGCAAAGCTCCAGCCCAGGAGTCCAATACTTATATAGGGAACACATACAGAAATAAACAATGACAACTTTAAGTAAAAGCTAATTGGTGTCAGGATGACTTACAATAAACCTGATCTTTTATCCCACCCCAGAGAATAAATAGGGTGAAACAGAACAAAGCAGACCCTATACTCATCGATACTCCCAGGAAACCCATTCTTGTGACTCACTTTTATTTTTATCCACGAGCTAATTCTGAAGAAAAACTTTATTTGGACTTAGAAACTGATTTTCTTTTTGGAACTATGTGCAAAAATAAGTAACTTAAACTGAATGCACAAACTTTAGTGAACTGCTTTATGAGAAGTATTTGTATTCACAGTGGAAAGAGCTGCATAAAGCCTACTTTAGTCTTCATGAAGGTGACAATTATTGAACTACATAAGATGTTTCTCTCTGATAGTAAACACCCAGGCACCATTCCTGAGGACAATGAGCACATCTTAAGGAACCACAACATCCTGGATGAGACTGACCACTCGTTTCTCATGCGTTTTTGGTCAGAACACCAGACAGTTTGTTCTGTCTTTGCAAAATGTCTTTGGATGTATGCAGAAGGGATCATATCCACTCAAAAAAACCCCAGAGGGAGGATCTGGGGGTTTTTGTTTGGATTTTTTTAAACTTAGAGTGAAAAAAAGAAAATATCTGTTAGTTATTTGAAGCCAGGATACAAAGGACAAGGGAAAAAGATGAGTTCAACTTACAGTGATCAGCACTGGTTGCCCCATAGGAGATGGTAGTTTTGCCCACAGGACACTTGACACAGGAGGAACGTCCTGTCTGATACTGATAGTAGCCAAGAGGGCAGGGAATGCATTCATCGTTCTGGAAATGACTGCCTGGAGGACAAACAACTGCAAAGAGAACAATCACCTTATTACTCTCTTGGAACCCAACCAGTTCAAGCATCTGCACACAGATGTGTGGGTGTGTACATATATACATCTCATGCCGGTATCTCATAGGCTTCAAGATCTTAATACCTTTATATCTAACAAAGGTAAACGCTCCTCAAATGCTCATTAAACTCACCAGTGACTGGAATATAGACTGTGGCCTTTTTTTCTCACCCTAAAAACGTTCATGTATTAGTGCATATCAAGCTGGTTGGAAATGTCAAGCCCAGGCCTGATTTCCATTTGTCAAATCCATTTGTAATAAGATAATGCACTTTGTGGGTAAGTTGTGAAAGAAAACAAAGACAGACAAGCTACAAACAGAGTAACTTCTAACACTACAGACAGAAAAGGGAAGGCTCCTAGGAACAGGAACTCCAGAAACATTGTACAGAAACCCACCATATGGTAACACTTTCATTCAGAATTCCTGGTAATGATTTTTAGTAAGCACTTCCAAACTAAATAGCGATGGCGGGATTAGAAGTCACTAGCTGTGCACATGACAACCCAAATACTAAACAAAAAGATATTCTTAGTGTATATATATCTATCCTTTTCAGAACAATCAGGAGCAATATTTCCAGCTGACCTGATGTATATTACAAAGAAAACTGCCTTCTGGAAGGTCATGGAATACTGTCTTTGCCTTCAGATCATTCGTACGAATATTACAGCAGAAGAGTAACAGACGCATTTGCAGGACAATACCTTTACTTGTTACTTCACAGCTGTTTTCCAGATGTAGATTTCCTTCAAAACACTATCAAATGTATATTTTGGGACATTGACAAGGTGAAAAACTCCATTTCTGTTCTTGCCCTACATCTTAACAGAAGTTTAAGCTTGTGTGAGAGAAAAACAGTAATGGAAAACTGGCCATCTCCACTGCAACCCACATGATGAATTGCTGTTCTGGCCAACACACTGGAATGTAAATTAATTTCACTTATAGGAGCATCTAAATTATAATAGACTAAAAAGATCTAAAAGTATGATCATTTTTATACAACCAATATAAAAATGATCATATCTTCCTTCATCTGCTATAAATGGTCCAATGGGAAGGTCTAGGATAGAGAACTGTGAGATGAAATTTTCTTCCTAAGTACATATCAAGACAATTACTCTAGATATAACACATATCTAAAATCAATTACAGACTGTCGTGGCTTAAGTCAAATGCAGGACACAGACCCAAGAAATCCCAGATCAGACAGAATTCTCCTGTCTTAAGCACATTACGTGTATCTGATGCACTTAAAGACATTTTCCAACACATGCAAAAAGGATCATATTCACTGCAAATGAACAACAGAAGAAATGAAAATGAAATGAGTAATCCGTGCCTCAACTGAAGACAAAATGCAAAGGATGAAGAACACTAATTAAGCAATTAAAAATTAAAAAGGGACAAATTAAGCTGTTAAGAATTCTCCCAGTTTTGTACCTTTAGTCACGATGTGAAAGTAACATCTGTGTCTCCCATCACATTTTAAGTGAGCAAAATTGCCTTTTGTCTCACACATTAGACTAACAAAAGGGCACAAAGAACAGTAAAAAATGTTAGAGCAGACACTTGTTTTCTAGACTCTATAATAACATCCATACATTTTAGCAATATAAGAAACTAGAGAACAGCTTTGACCCAAAATCTCAGAGCTAAGTATTAGCACTGGGCTAAAATCTGTATCCCTAAAACTAAATAAAAATAACATAACTAAGATAAAGTATAAAAATAACATTAAACCCCAAATTTAATCCCTTGCTCCTGCACATGAAATGTGTAACCTGGTTTCACTTCTAACTAGACCCAGGTTTCTGTGTACCAGGGAAACACGATGCTGAGTAACAAATTCCAGGCTGAAGAACAACTCACTGGAGTAACTGCACAAGGATGCCACTCCTCACAGTTCTGTAATCAGAGGTGATACTTCTTACTACTAATCCCTATTATTAGTAGAGACTGTGACAAGATAAATGACCAAAATATACCCAAAATGCAAATTAAAACACATATAAAAAAATATATAAGATATATATTGTTTATAAATTTATCTCTCTGTTAAAGGAAGCAGAAACAGAATTCCTATATCCTCTGTTTAGAATAAAACATGCAGTCCCACTACACAAACCAGTGTCCAGCAGTGTGTATACCGTGACAACTCAGAATACAAAATCTCTGCCAAAAACTAGAGCACAAGCTATGTCCTTTCCACATCTCTATGATAAGTCTGTTTCACTGAGTGACTTTTACTACCACTAGCTGGTTCAAATATGTATGAACTAACTCACAAATTGCATTAATACACTGCTTCCTAGAGGCCTTTATCCTTGGCAGGAAATACTTGGCAAAAAGGTCCAATTCTTTGTAAGTTCTTCTGCTCTAAGTGATGGACTGTGCTTAATACTGGTACCTTTACTCAGTACAACAGTACATCTAATTAAGTAACTGCAAGTCATTACAGACTCTGGTTTCTTAGTAGGAATTAATCATTTTTTTCTCCTTGGTGTATAGAAATAACCAAACTCTTAAGTGTTTCAGATCATGAAGATGAACTAAAACTGGTCAACTTACCCTTAAAAGCCCAACCTGGAAATTGCAGCTGTTCAGAGCTGATTCATCATTTGATTACTTTGAAGCCCCTGACCAGGCATTAGGAAGCTCTCCTGACTTAAAGAGACACCAAGCTGGGACCTAAGTTGCTTTCATGTATTTTGATTTGCTCTAGGGTCTCAAACTTAAGCTGCTGAAGTTTTCCCATCTGAAAATATTCCCCATATTGGAAAATTTATGCAATACCTGCTACTGCTGATCTTATACCTAGAAGTAGTACACCCCTCCCCTGTTCCAAAAAAAAGCTAAACATAGTGAATACATCCCAAACTGACATAAGACACAGACTCACTGACACTAACCTGGCTAAGAACAATCGGGGTTGTGCTATAGGAGGGTTGATGTTGATAGAAACAAGTGGGCCTGTTAAAGCAAAGGCTTTTTGGTAGCATGATCTGGTACACAGGACTGCAAGGCACAGCCATGGGGCTCCATCGAAAAGGCAGGTATGTCAGGCCTAAGCAGGATGTTGACAGAAAGGCAGCCTGTTCCAGGGAAGCCAACTAAACAGAAGGAAAGAAGATGAAAAGAGGGCAGGAGTGCAATCAGGCCTGGGTGATGGCCAACACCAAGAAAGCTTCCATCAAAGCTGGACAGACTTGGCCCAGGACTTGTGCCATTTCTGCATCTAGGCTTCTATTCTCAGTAACTTTCCATCATCTGAAGCACCAGCTACATGATCTTTGTATTAATCTTCTATTAAGGATCACATACATTACAGCAAGACCTTCTAATGCCAGACAGATCTAAAAAAATACCCCAATACCTTGGCAAACCCTTCTATACCATGTCAGTGCCATGACACCTATTTCCAAATTGTTGGCTCAATGCAAGGAGTGAAGAGCACTAATTCCCATCACTCCTCAGACTTACCATTCACACCAGTGATTCGCACTTTTCACATGTTGACCATAAACACAAATTCACTGATGATTTTCCAACTTTAGCTTCATGCTAATTCCTAATAATATCAAAGAAGGGAAAGCTAAACTGAGACATACCACATCCTTGTGAATTCGGGGCTGCTTGCCCAGGAGATGATATTCTTCGGAACCCGTTTCGACATCCTAGCTGCACACTCGGTGACAAATCAAACTCTTCATCCCGTGGAAAATCAACTACAGAATCTGCTAGGAACTGCTTGGAGTCCAAATACAGCAGAAAATCACCGTCCTTAATCTCTTTTATAAATGCTCCAATGAGATTTTCTCCAGAAATTGCATTTTCTAAAGGTAGGGGAGGAAATACAACAAAATATCATGAAAGACATTCCCAATAGGGGAACAGAACGTAGAAACTGATGAACTTTAAGTTAAAAGCATATGCAGATACAGAAATATAAGCATGACTGAATCTGTACAGTGTCTATCAGACTAAAACCCTAATCTTAATATCTGTAGAAGTCATAAAGAGACAGAGGCAGAAAGCCTATCCAATAAATAAAGCATCAGAAAACAAAACTTTATTTCTGAGTAATAAACAAAACTTCAGCAGATGAAAACCAGGATTATCTGACATTCAGAGTGAATTTATTCCTGGTTTGTGCTTGTTTGGTTGTTTGTGTTTTTTGGTTTTTAATGGGTGTCATTTGTTTCTTTTTCAGCATCTTGTTGCTTTGTTTTTGAAGGCCACCATCTGCAGCAATATAACAATCACCTTCCATCATGCTGCTGATATTCAACATACCCACCTATTCCACAGACACACTCTTCACAATTGCTGAAGCTGGTGTTTAAAATGCTGGAAAACAGTGAGCACCTTTCCTACTCTCTATATTCTTAGTTGCCCAGACAGCTTCCCCTTCGATGACTTGTGCAAGCACAGTTTTCAGTGCCAGATCAAGAGCAAATTCCCCAGTTTGGCTAGACCAGAAGTACCAGAACAGTGTTGACAGCAGATTTTGTTTGCTATCACATTCTGTTTATCCCTGCAGGGTTTATGACACTAAATGAGGTGTTGATGTGGTTTACTGGTCCAAATTTGCAAGACAAGGGCCTAAACCTTAAATACTGAAAACATTGGTGACCCTCTGTTCCTGAATGTTGGTCCCTAGCTGATTGCTGTCATGAAGATGTTGTTTCCCCTGTTGCAGAGGAAGGACACAAGACCGTTCACTTGTGAGCTAAAGTGAATGGTCCTTGCATTAAATCTGACAACTGTGTCTGTTTATTCTCGATGTTCTGCTTCCTCGAGTTTTGAGCAACGTCTCCTTCTGCTGCACTGACACATCCTATAATCAACAAAACAGCACTTAGTTTTGGTCAAACCCAGGCCAAAACAATACTTAGCTCACAAGGAAGTAATTGGAGATCACCACATAATCAACACCACTTTGCCTATGTTTTGCCTGAAGTTGTCTCATAATTGAAAGCAGGAATAAGCAGATTAGCCTTCAGAATTGCCTAGTGACTAGCTGTAGCAGAATTGAAAATAACCTTGAAATGACAGCTGAGGGAATTCACATGTAGAAAAGAAGCAATCAAACCAGTAAGAACGCACTTAGATCCATTGATTGTCTTTTAAAACATTTCCATGTTGAAAATTCCTTAACACTATCACTACATGTGACCTTTCTATGACCACATTATGCATCCATTCATATACAAAATCCTTTGCATTTAAAGTATATAAAAAGGTGTTTAGCTGTAGCAAACATGTTCATGCATTGCAAGTACACAGGTACATCCTGGAATGTCTCAGCAAAAAACAGTTCAGTGATGGACATGCCAGCCACAGAGTTGCTGGTAACATCTGACACAAGCTGCCTTGGTTTAGCCCTTCCAGCATGGGCCACACTTCCCTGCTGACATGGGACATCTTAGCTTCTGGTCCAAGGTGTGTTTCCTAGGACCTTCAGCAAGCTCTAAAGCACAGCAGATATAATAGTGCTTTCCTGGATTTGCTCCTCTTCTGCTGCACATTTGGGAAACTCAGGCTACTACACATCTCATTCATTGTTAGATTTAGTGGAAGGTCTTACTAAGCATTTCTCCAGGACCTGATATACCTTTAGGGACTTACACTTCTGGGGGACAATACATTTTTTCACATACAGAAATATCCTGCAAATTGTTGCATCTTATGTTATCTTGTGGGAAGAAATATGGTTTAAGGTTCTCTTCTGTTGAATTCAACACTAATTTCAACAGGTAAGGGATCATGCTGTCACCTGGAGTTTATATTGGCCAAATGAGAAAGTGAGAGAAAAGTGAAAGAAAAAAAAAGGTAAATTTGTTCTTTTTTAAATTTTCTTTAAGGAAAATGCAGAGCACAAAGACACAGCTTAGAATATTAGTTGTATACTGCAGGGATTGATTTCCTCCAGTTTCACTGATGGGGACTGTTTACTACATCTTCATCCACTTAAGGCTTATTTTTATAATCCATAGTGGTTTTGTGTATTGAACGTAAAAGAGAAAACTTGGTGTAAGGGTTCCTCAGTATTCTAAAGCTGAGGTCTAAGCTACAGAGCCAAATGGTGTAAGATCCTACAGGAAAGGTTTAGCACGGTGCAAAGCCTTGGAAAGAAAAAGTAAGTAAAAGTGCAAGAAAAATGCAAGAAAAAAAGTCATGAAGCATTCATGAGTGATTTAGATTTGAGGCTCTCCACTGGGAACATATATATACTGTGCTTCTGTTTAGCTATTGTTTTCTCAGCTATTTCATATGAGGAAAAAAAGCAAGACTTCTTATTTACCCACATAGAAGCTAAGAGAAGAATAAAGCTATTTTAGTAATGTAGATTTTCAAATCAGAGAGCAATTTTGCTCACCGTGTGTAAACACCTCGAACAGAAAGATCCAAAGCTGCCTTAGAAGGTAAGGGAAGTTGATGGTGCCATAAGTAGACAGAGAGCAGGTTCTGCTCTACCTCTTCTGAAACGATACAGTCATTCCCTGAAAAGCAGTTTTAGTACTACAGGGAAAATTTAATGTGGAGTGGGTCGAAAATGTGATGTCTACAAAGTGAGACACTTTTAAAACTAAAGTTTCATATAAAACCAACCATGCTTCTGCAAACGGCTTGAATATTCACTTGTATGAACATTCACTTGAATTTCCCTTACAACTGGGAACAAGTGAATGGATGTAAAAACAAACATCCTGTAAAACCAGGAACCACACCACCACTACAGCCACTGAAGGCTTTTGAATTCAGTTTTGATCAGACAAAAACTGCTGTAGGGCATGTCTTCAAGTCCCAAAGTTAGAGGCAACAACACGTGCAGGCAGAGCTATTGATATTTAGTGCTGGGAGCACCATTGCAAAGCAGTAAGACTGGAGAAAAGGTGGCACGGGAGACATCTGAAATTGGGATGTGTCTTTTACACCTTATTCTAGAGGGAAACACTGACTGATCTGAAAGAACATTTTTATACCTTTCCTAACTCTCTTGGAAACCACAGCAAAGATCCGCCAGTCAGTGGTCTCTGAATTATTGCTCTAGGATGTCTGTGGTAAGGGTCGTTCTTTGGTGTCAAAAGTAATGTAATAAACAGAAAAGGGGGAGAAAGAAAAAAAGAAAAAATACTTGGAAGAGAATAGTTATATTTTTGGCAATGTGTGAATTGTGCTTCTCTGAGTCCAACCCAATAATGAGCACAATCTTTTCCACCACTGAGGACCTGCCCAATGGAAATTAACATCTGGTAAAGATCAGCTCATGCCCGATAAAGTAATTTTCTATCTCAGTCAAAGAAGCTGGGAGAAGCAGTCCTATGTGAAAAAAAACATTGCTATAGCTCCTTTCTTTTCCAAGAGTAATATATCAACAGCAAAAGCTCAAAGACAACTCCAATGCTTTAGACAGACTGTTTCAATGAGCGCTTATAATACCTTGTCAGTGCCCCCTAAGAGCAAATACAGGGAAGCAAAATAATTAAAAGCAAAGCAGGTTTAACTCACAGAAAAACCCCTTACCAATATCATGTAAATCAGGGAGAGAAGCTGCTGGGATGTTTTCCAGTTGAGTCCTCCATGTGACATTCACCCCCAGGCGGTCCATGCCCAGGCATTCAACATAGACAGTGGAATCATCACAGACAGAAACGGAGCCAGTGTTTCCAAACGCATTTACCTTGAGTTCAAAATTAAACCATGGTTAGTTAACCTGAGAACAGGGAAAGTCAACCTTTCCCTATTCATTTGCACTGTGCTATGCTCAAAAGGTACATTTTCAAAAAGGCCTGTAAAAACAAACCTAGGACAGGATATTTTAGCAGGTCATCTCCTCACAAGAAGAATATTTAAAATGTTCTCTTCCATCAAAACATATTTTTAATTAATATTGGACTGATGTTATAAGACTTCTATGTCCACAATTAAGTTGATCTTCTGATGTGAGGTCAGTGAGACTAAACATCCTATTTTCCCAGTTATCCATATGATAATGCTGTCAATCCTGACAGATTTCATAGCATCTTCAGCTCTTCCACCTCTCTCAAACAAGCAAAGCTCACCTTTGTGTCTCACCTTTCTTTTTGTAATACAAAGAAACCAACCAACCAACCAATAAAAAACCCAAACTAAACCAAACCAAAGAAGACCACCAACAACAGAGAAGAAGGAATTGAAATTACCTGGAGGTGACATAAACCACGAGCCTTCAACTCATCTAAAATGAATATCTGGAATGCCTGGAGCAATCCAGAGTAGTCAGAACTACAGGTCTTCTCAGGAGGCAGCAGTAGTTGAAAGTGTGCTTGAGCTTGGACTGTCTGAAATAATTGGAGCTCTAAAAATCAAGTAGAAAAAAGGGCATTTAGTAGTGTCACTAATGTAGAAACTGACTTCTAAAGTCACTCTGGGAAAAGATGACACTGATTTGGCATTTTGGAGACCTCAGAGCAGCCTTCCAATATCCGAAGGGGGCCTAAAAGGATGCTGGGGAGGGACTCTTCATTAGGGACTCTAGTGGTAGGACAAGGGGTAATGGCTTTAAACTTAAACAGGGGAACTTTAGGTTAGATCTAAGGAAGAAGTTCTTCACAGTGAGGGTGGTGAGGCACTGGAATAGGTTGCCCAAGGAAGTTGTGAATGCTCCAACCCTGGAGGTGTTCAAGGACAGGCTGGACAGAGCCTTGGGCGACATAGTTTAGTGTGTGGTGTCCCTGCCCATGGCAGGGGGGTTGGAACTAGGTGATCTTAAGGTCCTTTCCAACCCAAACTATTCTATGATTCTATGATTTTGGTCCTGCATCAATAGCATCTCCCCATTTCTAGGTGAACACAGTAGTTGTTGGTAGTGAATAATAAGCAGCAAGAGATGCTTGATAAATATATGTATGTTGTTCATTAGGGAAAAGCCAAGTGATATCACTATATGACAATAAAGAGATATTTTACACTGGAGCACTCACAGAAGGATAAGGAACAATGTGAATTACTAACGAGGATTTTTTAGAAGCCTTAGCAGGTAGAAATTTCCAGAGAACGAAATGAAAGGTAATGTTATGCCAATACATAGAAAAGAAACAGGAAGACAGGAATTATTGACCTGTCAACCTCCACTTCTCTTAGACACACCCATAAAAAGACTTCAATTTTAAAATTAATTAAATGATCAAAACAAAAGTAATTTAAATGGGCTTTCAGGCACTTAGCATGCCAAATTAACTGGGAGTCAAGCTTTAGGAGAGAATAAACCTGATTGCATGATTATGGCATTGACATGGACACCTACAAGGCCCTTCCAACTTTTTGATATCAAACAGAAGTGATGAAAATCACACAAACAGATGAGAAATCTATGAGCTCATCTGTCACAAAATATAAATATTTTGGGCCAGTTTTTAGCCATAAAAAAGGTGCAGATTTCTTGTCTCCACTGGAGTTACGCAGACCCCAGGCTTCACGGAGGGTTTGTTATCTCAGATTCAGCACGGTGGTCATGTTGTCCTGCCACCTCCAAATGGAGCCTGCTCTTATCCCACCAGCCTGGGCAAGCAGCAGAGCTCTCCCTCATTCACCTCCTCTACAGACCCTCACTGCATCCCATAGAGGTGTCACCGCTGGGGCACAATTCTCCACCCCTTACCCCAGTAGGAGTGTGGGAAAGCCTGGAGGGCTTCCAAGGAGAATGGTGGGAGGGACCAGATGACACAAAAGCCTGCCTCTTCTTGCAAGGTGCAAAGCCCTCTGTCTGCTTAGTTTATCAGAGAGTACTTAAGAGCTGACTTAACCACCATCTTGAAATGTACACATAAAGAAGAGGAAATCAGATTCCTAAGAGTGTGGGTAATTATCCATTGGAATAAATTACTAAGTGTTGTGATGAATTCTCCATTATCGTGAAGTTTACACAATTGCTTTCTGATGTGTTGGGAATCTTTTCTTTCTCCTTAAAGCCATGCTCTATAACAAACACAAATTACTGGGGCAAGTCCTTAGGTTGCATCAACCGGTAGCTTGTATCAGACTGCCACACACTCCCCTTTTTCCTTACATCTATTCAACTGCCATCAGGCAAAACCAAAAGTTACTTCATAACATGCTACAAAACTACAGCAAACATGATTACAGACAAAAGTACCACTCTGAAATTTAAAGTTTAAAAACATTTACATTTGGAATAGAAGAGCTGGGGTACAACTGGAAATATGTCAATACAGGGGTTTCCAGAATGGGTTTAAACCATATTGGAAATTAAGAGTAGATGTAAATTCGGCATCAAGATCTACCTTCCTCAAAAGTTCAGCACTGCTACACATTGCTGTTTAGATCAGAATGTATCTATACATCTCTATTTGAAGCAATTGAAAAGGCCAACATGAATACCCAATTACTTGAGCTTTGAATAGACAGCCCATTCTCCCAAGATTTAAAGTGCCATTTTTAACTTGAAAATTCCACAGGTCAGCCAGCCAACACAACAATAATCCTAAAGAACTGACCACTGCAAAAAGATGCAGAAGTAACAGTGACTTGATTATGCAAATAAACAGTCAAGTTCTGCCAAATTCAAACATCTGGCGCTCATCTGTTCTTCCACGACTAAGTGGTTCCTTTGGAACCACTTCATGGTGCCAGCAACTTTGAACTAACAAAGATTAATCATAGAATCATAGACTAGTTAGGGTTGGAAAGGACCTTAAGATCATCTAGTTCCAACTCTCAAATCTCCATATAGATTGAATAACTATTTATAGCTATACTATAACAGAAAAGCAGGACTGCTTCTAGCATAGGAGCCAGCCAAAAGACAGATAGGAAGACGGCAGAAGACACGACTAATTCGCTTTAATTTAGCAACTCCCATATAACTCTTGTGTCCTGTTACTGTCATTCACACAGTAGCTTCATGATGAAAGCAGATGTTTGTACACGTATTCACACTGCTCTGCCCTTCCCGACCCACAGCAGTTCAGACATACTCTGGCAGGCCTGGTAGAGCGGGGCAGCCGAGACCCATCGATGCTGTTGCACATCACACTGAAAGGCTGTGGTGGAAGAGGCACTGTGGAAGCCCTGGCGACACACCAACCAGCACTGCTGAATGCTTGGAGCTTGCCCAGAAGTGTTTGCACAAAATACAGCTCCGTTGAGCACAGATGAGGCACCGAATGGCAGAGCACACTGTGGACCTTTAGGCAAATGAGAAGGGGGATACATTAGTGGCATACTGGGAAGCACTTTGAGTGAAAAGCCCACAAAATCCTGATATCAACAAAGAAAACCTAGAGAGCACCCTGTGCATCCCCACTCATCTCAACTTGGATCTGGTTTGATGTCAGCATGGTTCAGTTTAGCAAAGCTGATGAAAACGCATATTGACTTTGATGGGTAATGCATTGGGACCAGAAAGCTACGTGCAGGGATTCTAAGAACAGATAAGTTTGAAACAGTCATGAATAAATTTAAGCAGGAAATGAGAAGGCTTCTGACCATCAGCAGAACAGACCTTTACAAAAGACATCCAGTGGGAAGAGGCAGGATAAAAAAAAAATACAAATAATAATCTCAATTCCCTTTAAAGGGAAGTCTGAAAACTTCAAGATCAGGAGCTCATGACTACAGTGTCCTCCACAGCACCGAGATGTTTCTGATGACCCAGCAGGTCCTTAACAGTAGTATGCAGCTTTGGAGTAAGAGCACGAAGTTTACCCTATCAACTCACTATGCATCAATACAGTCATTTCAACCCTGCCAGCCCACTGTAGCAGACTAGTATAGCATGCTAATGATAATCAATTTCTACTCATCAGTACAAAATAACTGCTTTGCTCAATATAAGCCAAATCCCAAACTGATTACTGAATGTATCTAGCAATATTTAAACACTTCTGAGTTCTAGAGCTACAAAACATATGATGAAAAACTTCCTTACTTAGAAACAAAGAAAATTACATTCTTCTAACATACAATTCATTTGTGTGGTGTATATATAGAATATTTCCCAAATAGCAATGCTCAGATCAGTCCCAACCTCCCTAGTCCATGAAGGAAGGCAAACACTGCTGATAGTTCAGGTGTGAGCAGTCTCCTTCTCCCTCATCTGACAGAGTTAGAAAGATGAATTCCTTAACTTAGCAGCCACTTCAGTTAAAGCTTAAAAAATTGCAGGATGAAGCTGGGATCCAGTGAGCACAGTACATCTTTGTTCTCCAACCCTGAGCATTTCAATGCCAAAATCAAAGGCTTTCATATTTGTCTCAGTGAATTGCCAAATGCTTTTTTTTCCCCCAAGTCTTTTTTATGGCATCTTTTCTGCAATAACTCTATAAATGGGGCTGTCTCCTCACTCACTGACTTGTATCCAGCTCTTTTTTCAGTAAAGGTGGAAACCTGGCATCCTTGCTTACAAACTTTTGTTAGACTTCCTGAGATTTTAGAACCAAAAGATATCACTGCAAGGCAGTAATGCCTATCCTGACAAATGTAAACTACACGCACCATTATGTGTAAATTACACAACATATCTCTTTATACAAAGTATGTAAAAATTAGTCTGTAGTCTGTTTATTGCTGTAACTCATCCCTATATTCGGCAAGTCAAATCTAGTCTCAGCTGCTACATACAGCCTTTTACTATCTGTTCCAGTGAGAGTTGGTGTGTGAACTAGAGAATAACCAGCCCTCAAAACCTAAGTGATGGATGGTTTCCTGGCATGGACCATAGGTATCAGTTCACAATCAGTAACTTGCTCATTTATCCCTCTACAGGTGTTATCTCATTTACTATTGTTACAAAGCCTGCACCATTTTGTCACTCTATTTCTGCCCCAATTTCTCTGTCCTGTAGGAGTCAATCAGAATCCAGTTGAATATTGACCCCTCTTTCATAGGTGTTTTCTGAAGATTTCCATAATGAAATTACTGTGTCCAGGACCTTCTCTGGAAGCCTTTCTCTCCTCCATTTCTACTCAGAGCTGTGGAAAGTGGGCATGAGGATGGCAGATGTGTGTGAGGACTGCTACAGTACTTGGAATCATCTGTCTGGTGCATGTAAACTAGAGACAGTCAGATTCTACCTGATGGAAACGATTAAGCTAATGAAAACAACATTGTATGCACTGGGCACTGTGAAGTTATTACTTGCTGTTTACAGCTGTCTGTTCTGATGTTGGAAGAGAAGTTTATCATATTTTTCCACCACAACAGCTTATTTTGCTGATAGACAAGATCTCAAAGATAGTGACAATAATATTTCTTTCCCTTTTCCTGATCAATTATTACTAGTTCCCAGAACTAGAAGTACATGGTTGGATAGACTGAGGGGAAAAATAACTTTTGCTTCTTTATTTTTATACAATAACTAAGTTGTTTAGCATGAAAACGTTCCATTGTTATTTCAAAATCCAGGAAAATCATTAAAGATCATTTCAATGGTATTTCTATGCAGAAAATAACAGTTTTCAGTAAAGCCAGGTTTCCTCTATATTTTTAAAGCAGTTCTCTCTCTCAGCTCAGTCGTTCAAAAAGAAAGGTCATTAATCATTCAGTCACTATTTCCTCTAGGAAAAGTACAGCATTATAGGATCCCAACAAACATCCTGATGTGCACCCAAAACATAAATCCATCCAAAAGGCTTATCTTGGGGTACGGCTACACCCTCCTTCAAACTTATTTCATAAATTCCCTTAGAATGGAAGGGGAAATCTAGAAGACAAGTTTTCATGGAGATAAGGAGATATCAAGGACTTATATACAACTAGTTCTGACTTTTCTCTGCCCTACTTGAAACACTTTCACTTTTCCTTGTTCACCTTCAGAGTCTATGAGAACATCAATCCATGCTGCTGAGTGCTGGGTGCCACTGGTCCAGACAAAATAGATATCACCTAATCCATGTCCCACAGAGATATTATCCCACAGCCTGGAAGCAGGATGGCAGCAGCACTGTACTTGTTAGATTGATCAGCTGTGCTTCTCTGAAGAGCTAGAAACCTGTATTAGACTGCTACACTCACAAGGCTACACCACCTTCATTCTGGAGCTCATCTCTTCAAAGCTTGGATGGACCATGGAGCAAATACAACCCTGGGGTCTCCTTCTGGCTTCCAGTAAAATCCCTTCTACATATCTCCCTTGGCACAAGAGAGTTCAAAGATTATCTTGGTGGTGGTTTCCAAGTTGGCTGAGGAGCCATCTAATTGATTATAATGCCTTACAGCCAGCTGGGCTGATGCAATCAGGTATTTGGTTGGTGAGCTTGTGTTGCTCTTTATATAGCAGAAACACGAAAGGAAACCAAAGCAATTTCTTATCATGCAGACACTAGTCGAAGGTTTTCTTTTCACAGCTCTAGTTTCTACTAATCATTCACTTTGGAGCATAGCCTTGTAGAAAGTTTAATTTGTTTTGCTTCACTTCAGTGATGGGAAGATGTATAAAAGCCATTGCAAATTAAATTTATCCAAATGTCTCCCATTTGGACACCTCACTGGAAACCATGACTGAATTCCAGCGCTTCACAGCTCTGGTCATGCAGGAAATATTCTGTGAATATGTAATGTTTTGGCACATCCTTTTCACAATTCTGGTCACAAGCCAAGAGTAGGAATGGCAGAACCATACATTTTTCAGATTTGATTTTAGTCAGCTGAATGGCTTTTAATCCCAGAGCCAGCTCAGGCTAGAACAGGTTCAAGGTTGCACCAAGCTGTTCAAATTGATTTTTTAACTAAGTTTTATAGCTTCTCCCTGACAAAGCACTTGAAGAAAACTGGACATTGTGCCCAGGTGGGTCTGAAATCTGCTATAACTTCAGATATAAGTTATATCTGATATTTAAAAAGAAGATATAAAAAGATAAGCATACTGCTTGAGCAAGAGCCTCTATAAGGGTCTGAACTAAGATTAAGATTATAAACTGAATAAGATTAAATACAACTAAATACTAGAAAAAAGATAGGATCTGGTCAAGTTCCAGAGCTGGATTTGCCCAGAGGCAATGTGCCTCAAGCAGGAACTCACTTGCACACGCAGGTCTTCCTCCGCTTACTCGTGTCCCTGGAGCTTCTTCTCCACTGTCAAAGACACACCAGCAGCTCTCTTGATCCTGGCTGCACTGCATGGGTGAGAAAGTCCCGTTGTCCCCTTCACACTGTGGGATGTAGCCTTTGCCAGCCTCTCGTGAACCAGTTTTAGACCTCAGCATATTACAGAAACTAGGACCTTCGAAGAGAGAAATTTATTGCAAGATACAGAAGACAACAAACTGCCCTAGAGACTTTAACAGCAATGCTTTCAGCCCGCTTTATTAGAAGGAAGAAAGATGAATGATCATGAAACCATCAATTATTTCACTCATTATACAAATGGGGAATTTGACTTCCACTAGAAAAAA